TCTCTTTGCTTGAATGCCCCTCTCCTTTCTCTATTCCACACCCCCATCACTCTTTTTCAGATGGCTAACTCCTACTCATTCTTTAAGAGTCAGCTCAGATGCCATCTTCAAAATGCATTCTCTACACCCCCATGCTGAGATAAGTAGTCCTCTTCCATGCTCTTATTGAACACTATGCATATCTCTTTTACACCATTTATCACCATGTACTAAAATTATTTGTGTATTTATTATCCCATTAGATCCTACTCAACTCATAGAGGGGCTATGTCATATTCATCTTTATATCCCTAGTGACTAGTAATGGACAGAGCCTCAAATATAGTAGGAGCAACCCACTGTTGAACTGAACTTAATCTCCAAGAGATCACCTCCAGCAATTCCAATTAAGAAACAAACTCACAAAATTCCGAGAGGACCCCATTAAAAACAGAGATACAGGTAACTCAGTTACCATGCATATATTCTAACTAGCCATAGCCTCCTCTGCAATGTCCAGAACTACCCACACCATACCACACCACACTACCCTATTCAACAATAAGACAGGTTGTTCTGTCCATTTATACAAAAAGGAACTGAGGCTAGACTAAGAAACAATAAAATAATAAGCTGCTTTGGGAAAACAAAGCTGATAGAGACTTGGAAAGCTGAAGAGTAAGTAGGAACTAGTCCTCTCTTCCTCAGATGAGAAACTAAAATGAAAGCACAGAGAAACTCATTCCCTTAAGAAAAGGGGAGGTACACTCTGGGATCACTTAACCCTATACCATGGGTTCTGACATGTAGAAAGGAAATGTAATCCATATATAATTTTGAGAGCCCAGATGCCCCACCCAAAGCATGGAAAATAGCTATTCAACTGTAGACTGGTATTCCTTGTCTCTTCCTCTCGATTCACCTGTTGCTGTCACTGGGTACAAATGAAGGTGCTAAAGGAAAATAAGTTCTTGCTCATAGCAGGCAACATGAGAAAACTGAGCCTCCTCAGAGCCCCTGTAACTTCTCCTTGTTCCCTATCCCACCTGTTCCCTTGGGCCAGCTGTTGATTATGAGGATCTCAGATAAAGCAGATGGGTAGGTTTCACATTAAACCAACCAGAAGAGCCGGTTGCTCCCCAGTTCCCAAATTTAAAGTGTGCTTAAACCCGAGGAAATGAAGAAACACTGTCCCCACATACCCTCACAATGGAAAATGAGGCAAAATACAGGAAAGCACTGTGGTCCTAATTACGCATCTATGGATGTAATTCTATAAGCTTCAATCCCTTGAAGTTAACTCCCTACATTTGAGAGGAAACAGACACACTAGCCACCTTTAAGTCCCAGATCCCAGGCTAGATCATCAATGTACTAGGAATTATAAGAGCTTTTAGGTCAGTGGTTCTCAACCAGGGGCAAATTTGACCCCTGGGGAATATGTCGCAATGTCTGGAGACATTTCTGATTATCATGCCTGGTGGGGAAGGGGACTGCAATCAGCACGTAATGAGTAGAAGCCAGGGATATTTAGAAACATCCTATAAGACAGGTGCAGTGGCTCACGTCTGTAATCCCTGCACTTTAAGAGGCCAAGGGGGAAGGAACGCTTGAGCCCAGGAGTTTGAGATCAGCTTGGACAACATGGTGAAACCCCATCTCTACAAAAAATAAAAAATTAGCCAGGCGTGATGGCATGCACCTGTGATCCCAGCTACTTGGGAGGCTAAGGTAGGAGAATCGCTTGAGCCTGGGAGGTCGAAGGTACAGTGGGATGTGATAGCGCCACTACACTCCAGCCCAGGTGACGGAGACAGACCCTGTCTCAAAAGAAAAAAGAAACATCCTATAATGCACAGAACAGTCTGCCACAACAAAGAATCATCCAGCACAAAATGTCAATAACGCCGAGGACGAGAAACCCTATTCTAGGTGGAGCATGATGAAGGGTCAAAAGAATGCATGTCACTTTCCACACTAGATCTAGAAGACGCCATTTGGTCCCCCCAGTCCAAACCCATCAAACAACATTCCGGAAGAAAAGAAAAGCCTATCGGACATACACATTCATTTAACTCCCAAGTCTAACTGCACTAAGGTGTTTCATGCCATTCCAACCTTGGGTCCTCTGTCACCTGCTGTTGCCATTCAGCTGAAGAACAGGTGGTAGTTCTACACCCACTTCTGCCCCATCCCAGGAGGTCTACTTTGACCTAGTTCAATCTAGAGTTCCGTGGGGATATTAGAAATGTAATCCTCTGCAAGACAGATATAAAGGATCCTGCTCGTAAGCCTCAGGGCCATCTTTAAAGTCTTGAAACTGGATGAGTAGCAGACTCTCCTTGTTAGGTCACTAATCAGACTTACATTGCTTATTCACTGAAGCAAAACATAGAAATATGTAAGTTCCTCAAGGCCATGTCCTTGGGAGAAATATGAGGATACTGTCATGCAGGTTAAGGGGCAGCCCTCTTCACTTAATGCAACCCAGATAAGGGTTCCAAGAATCTAACTTAAACATTAAAATAATGTGATGAGGCCTGGCACAGTGGCTCACACTTGTAATCCCAACACTTCGGGAGACCAAGGCAGGCCTGCTTGAGCCCAGGAGTTCGAGACCAGCCTGAGCAACATGACACAACCCCATCTCTACAAACAATAAACAAAAATTTGCTGGGCATGGTGGGACATACCTGTGGTCCCAGCTACTCTAACGCACCACTGCACTCCAGCCTGAGGTACACACTGAGACCTTGCCTCAAAAAAAAAAAAAAAGGAAAAAGGAAAAAAAATGTGATGAAAGTTCAGCTGATTAGTAAAATTAGAAAAGAAAACATGACCAATTTCTTCTAAAACCAAAATATACTCAGATTTCTGTGGCAGTGAGGCAAGGGAGCTCAACTTAAAACATACAGAGATCCTAAATAACAGGTATCAGAATGGTGAGGAGAATGTAGCCCTCTGAACAGATTAGAACTCAAGTCTTGGTATCTGAAACACTGCCAAATACCAAGAGACAAAACTCCAGCACACAGAAAGTCCTGATCCCACTGACTGGTCTGGCTCTATGTGAGACAGTAACACATGAATTCTCCCCTACAGTTTCCCAAGAATAATTGATTCTGAGGAATTGCTGTATTTCCTGGAGTTTTACTTTTTTCTTTAGAGAAGTCCAAGTCAGCCAAGGGCCAACAGACAGTCTATAGGTATCTTCAGGATTTTCTCCTGATTGGTCCTTCTCTACTATGTTTCTACTTCCAAGCAAAGTCTGGTCTCATCCCAACCAGGAATAGCTGTAGTTTTTGAGGTACTTGGCTCTCTCAGAAGCCCTTAGGGGAAAGCCACGTGAAAGAAATAAAAAAGAGTGCTGTCTTGAAATGAAAACGACAGTCATCTTTTCTGAACAGGGATGATATTTGTAATTTCATAGGAGAATTAGAGATATCTGACTCAGAAGTCCTCAAAAGAAAAGTCATTTGTAGTTCTTTTTTGTAGAAGAACTACAAAAAAAGTGGTGTCTTGAAACTTGAAATGAAAACTACATAGAAAATCTTAAAGATGGTTAAGAGTACATTCTTGCTCGTGGAACTAGGAAATGTAATCAAATATCTGGAAGTCAAAATTACACAGTATGTTTTCAAAATAAAGATGCCAGGAACCCCCCCAACAGCTAGAAGAGAAAGTGAGAGGAAAAGTTTCCCATGGAAGGAAGGTGTCCCAGCAACCCTCCAAGGGCAAAATTTAGTAGACAATGTACTAGAATACAGCCTTCCATATGTTTAAAAAAAAAAAAAAAAGTTTCAGAGCTGACCAAGAAGACTAGACAATAACAAACCAAAGCTGGGGGATTGTCCCAAGACATCTAAATCTCCTTCTCTTTTCCCTCCTATCTCCAATTAACTGAAGTAACAGTGATTACAACAGATCTCATGCACTCAGATGGGTGAATGAAAACTCATTTTCCCTGACATTCTCCTCCTCATTAAGGGACCCAACCTCAAAATAACTCTCATGCTATTTCCATTCCCTTCCATTGTTTGAAAACAATAAAAAAGTTCCAGACTTACCTCCGCAAGAAACTTAATTTCCCAGGTCTCTTCCTAGCACAAGTTTCACAGCCAGCAGCAAAACAAAAACAAATAAGGAGAGGAAAATAATTAATTTTCAAGTTTTACTTTGAAACCTCGAAGGCCCATAGAATTAGACAATCTCGTTGCAAAAGTACACAGACAAGCCTGAAGACATTTAGAGAACTCACCCCCAACAAGTCTCCAGGCTTCCCTAACTCTCTATTAGTCAATTTACAAAAATACCAACTCCAAGAATTTCCAGTCTCAATGGCTTGCGGTAAGAAAGCTCCCAAATTTAAGAACTTCTGGGAAAATCAATTACCCTCTGGCACCTTCTCATCTTCCTCCACAATTCCTTATTCCTATTTTGTTACAATATTAATGTTAACTTTCATCTTCAGAAAAAACTGGGAGGCAAGTGGTTACAACAGACCAGCACTATCCTCCAAATTCTACCTTTGGCCCTTTCCCTTAACTAGCACACAATGAGAACAAAATATCTAATGGCGCAGCATCCACTCATACATCTATGTTTCACCAGGGAAAGTTTTTCTACATACAGTATCCATGTTACCCCCTCCCTTCTAGACTTAAACAGCAAAAGGGTCTGGAAACTACAGCACTCATTTAATTAGCCTGTCTAGATGCCACTCTATCTTTTGTCTTTCCCTCCTCAGACTTCCAGAGCCTCCACCTTAGCATATAGGGTTCCAATATAGCCATGTCTGCTCCCCCACTCTTTTATTGCTAATGCTAAAAACTAGAAAAGTCCTTTGCTCCTCCACACTTGGACGACACCGGCTTCCCCATTTTCCCAAGCAGGAAAAACAAGGGAACAGTAAGCTAGGGAGTCTTTTGGAAAACAAACCCAGTTGAATTCTCATCCAACCCCAATTCTGCAAACCCACATGACCATTCCCTTCTGCCCTTCCCACCCTCTTAAAAGCTAAGGACCTGGCAATTAGAATTGGCTGCAACTGATGCTGCTTAACTCTGTTCTCTCCTCCTCTCCACCGGGGAAAGGGAAACCCCCGAACCTCTATCACCCGTGCAGCTCCACTGTCCTAGCTCCCATTCCACTCCTTCTTCCCAAACTTTCTTCCTCCCAGTCTCTCACTTTCTCCATTACCTCCTCCCACCGACACTCTCTCCATTCCCCAAACCTCCGTTCTCTCCTTTTCCACCCAAATTCTCCCCTAGGCCCTTCCCCCTCCCACATCCAATTTAACACTTTCGAAGCCCCCCAGAATCGTCTAAACTCCAATTCTGAGCTTTCCCCACCTCCTCGCAACACCCCTCATCAGAGTCCAGTCCTCCCTCCAACCACATGCCACAGCCCCCTTCCCCTTCACACCCTCAGCCTCTCCCTCCTGCTCCTACCCACTTCAATACGAGCGGATCGCAGCCCCACTCCCCACCTCGGCCTCTCTAATACCCCTGGCTGGGCCCAGACTCAGCCCTTGTTTACGCCCCTCCCCATGCCCTCACTCCTCGGTCTCGACCCCTGCCCTCTCCCGCAGTTGCCATCTCCCCTGCACGCCCCCCTCGGCAGCTCCCCTCCCCCACCTCTCAGCGTCCCGTCACCTCCCTCTCTTGAGGTTCTCAGGCTGGACGTCGCCACCGCCTCCCCCTCCACTTTCCTTCCCCAAGCCCTTTGCGGCCCCGCCCGGCCCCGCCCCGTCCCGCTCGACTCCCTCTCCCCATTCCGGCCGCCCCTCCGCCTCACTCTCGGCTCAGGCTCGGCGCCGCCATATTGGATCCATCCGCGCCACTCTCCCGGGCCTGTCTCACGGCGCCGCATCCGGGCTCCAGCCGCCGCCGCCGCCGCCGCCGCCGCGGGCGTGGGGGAGGGGAGAGGCGGGCGGGGGTGGCTGCATCCTGAACGGCGCCTCCCGGAACCCGGCCGGTTAGTGGCGGCTTCGAGGCCATAGTGAGACATGAGCCGCAGTAGCCATAGTAAGTGAGGGCAGCCTGGCAACGGCATTAAGCGGGGAGTGGATAGCTTCACTTCGGGAGGACAGATAGGGATTGGCAGCCATCTTGCTTTGGGGCAAGCTGGCAACGCCGGTTTTTCTTGACGGCTGCTTAGGGCGGTAATAAGGAATGGGGAGAGGATAGCGTTCTTGAATGTGGAAACATTGGTGGCGCCACAGCTGGCTGGTGGCCACTTCAAGACCCACTGAAAGGCTGGGATTGGCAGCCATGACTCATAAGGGCGGAATAGCACGGGGATCGGTTTGTCTGGAGAACTTGAGTGAAGGGTCAAGTTCTGGATTTCACCTTTCCTCTGAGCTTCCTGATAACCCGGACGTTCCGTAAACCCGGATCCGGAGCCGAAAGCGCTGCTCAGATCCCGTCTCGGAATTCATTCGTTCAGCATTTACCTTTTGAACGCCGGTTTCCTGTAGCAAGTGTCGCCTAGCTGATCCGTGTAGGGCTGTTGGGAATTGGGGGTGGGGAGGATGGTGCGGGTACGTTCTGGAGCTGCCAACAGCCTGGTGTGGCTTAAGAAAGAGGTAATAGATAGGGGAAGACCAGATTATGCGAAGCCTTGTAAATTAATTGATTTTTATTCTTAAGACTTTTCATTGTCTTTGAAGAATCTCAACAGAGGTGTGAACAATTTTATGGCATTTTAGATCGCTGCGTGCAGTGTGAAGGATGAATTGAGGGGACCAAATGAGAATCAAGGAGAGCAGTTGTGAGGCTCTTTTCCAGGCGTCTGCCTGTGGAAGGGAGAGTGCGGATGGGGAGATACAGATTGGATTAAGAGGTACCAATGTTGTGACTTGGACAACTGGGGAATAATGATACCATTTTCTTTCTCGTTTAGGGGGAGATAATGAGTTTTAGGTGCCCCTGGGATATTAGCTAATGTGGGTTGGGAACCCAAAAGAAAGGTTTGAGGTGTGTGTGCATGTGCATATAGATGGCTGTTGAAGCCATGAAATGGGCTGGAGAGAAAGATACCTGCATTTGCAGAATAGGTTGAGGGAAGCCGAAAACAGAACACTGAGAAGGGGCAAACCGAAAGGAAAGAAAACCATAGAGAACTATCAAGGAAACTGGTTAAAGCGTTTAGTGTAACAGAGATAAAGTAAAATGTGAACTAAAATATATCCATCAGGGCTGGGCGTGGTGGCTCACACCTGTAATCCCAGCACTTTGAGAGGCCGAGGTGGGTGGATCACTTGAGGCCAGGAGTTCGAGACCAGCCTGACCAACATGGTGAAACCCTGTCTCTACTAAAAATACAAAAATTAGATGGGTGTGGTTGCACATGCCTGTAATGCCAGCTACTTGGGAGGCTGAAGCATGAGAATTGCTTGAACCCAGGAGGCAGAGGTTGCAGTGAGCTGAGATCGTGCCACTGCACTCCAGCCTGGGCACCAGAGCAAGACCCTGTCTCAAAAAAAATAAAATAGGCCCAGCACTTTGGGAGGCCATGGTGGGCAGATCACTTGAGGTTAGGAGCTGGAGACCAGCCTGGCCAACACGTTGAAACCCCGTCTCTACTAAAAATACAAAAATCAGCCAGGTATGGCAGTGCGTGCCTGTAGTCCCAGCTACTGAGGAGGCTGAGGCACAAGAATCGCTTGAACCTAGGAGGCGAAGGTTGCAGTGAGCTGAGATCGGGCCACTGCATTCCAGTCTGGGTGACAGAGTGAGACTCTGTCTCCAAAAAACTAAAATAAAATAAATAAAATGTATCTATCAGATATTGCAACAAGGGCCAGGCACAGTGGCTCACACCTGTAATCCCAGCACTTTGGGAGGCCTAGGCGGGTGAATCACTTGAGACCAGGAGCTGGAGACCAGTTTGGCCAATGTGGCAAGACCCCATTTTTACAAAAAATACATTAGCTGGGCATGGTGGTACACACCTGTGATCCCAGGTACTCTGGAGGCTGAAACACAAGAATCATTTCAACCCAGGAGGTGGAGGTTGCAGTGAGCGGAGATTGCACCACTGCACTCCTGGCAACAGAACAAGACTTTGGTTTTCTTGTAAGTAAATAAATAAATAAATAAATAAATAATAAATAAAAAGGCCGGGTGTGGTAGCTCACACCTGTAATTCCAGCACTTTGGGGGCCGAGGTGGGCCGATCACCTGAGGTCAGGAGTTCGCGACCAGCCTGGACAACATGGTGGAACTCCCATCTCTACTAAAAATACACAAATTAGCCAGACATGGTGTCGGGCACTTGTAATCCCAGCTACTTGGGAGGCTGAGGTGGGAGAATCGCTTGAACCCAGGAGGCAGAGGTACAGTGAGCCGAAATTGCACCATTGCACTCCAGTGAGACTCTGTCCCCCCAAAAAAGATATTGCAACAAGGAGGTCATTTAGGAAATTTGGAGAAAGCTGTTTTGTAGTTATGGTGGATAGAAACCAGATTGAATTGAGAAGGCACAACATATAAAGACAGTTTTTTCATGGTGTTGATGTAAAAAGGAGACTAATGGTAGGGTATTGCAGGAGGGAGAATTCCAAAGAAAGGGAAGAAGTTTTAGGTATCTGTGAGATAGCTAGATAGATATGTCCTAGTGGCATGTTTAATATACAGATCTAAAACTTAAGAGGAAAATATAAGTGGAGGAAAAAAGCAAGCACAGAATACATATGACACATTTACACATGCATTAAAAAATTATGAAGAGTGGGCCTAGGAGGGATGAGACATACTTTTCATTGTACATCTATCTTTATTGCTTGAAATTATTTTTCTATGCACATCTTATAGAAAGCTACTTTATTTTTTTTTTGAGACAAAGTCTCTGTCACCCAGAGTGACAGTGGCACGATCTCGGCTCACTGCAACTTCTGACTCCCAGGTTCAAGCAATTCTGCTGCCTCAGCCTCTCGAGTAGCTGAGACTACAGGCGCATGCCACCATGCCTGGCTAATTTTTTGTATGTTTAGTAGAGACGGGGTTTCATTATGTTGGTCCAGCTGGTCTCAAACTCCTGACCTCATGATCCACCCGCCTCGGCCTCCTAAAGTGTTGGGATTACAGTCATGAGCCATGGTGCCTGGCCAGAAGGCTACTTTTTAGAAAGTCCTATGATCTATAGGCCAGAAATTCTGAAACATCAACCTTTCAGTGATAATTGAAGCCATAGATTTGGATAAGCGCGCCGGAAAAGAGCTGAGGGCTAAGAAGAGTGCTCTGGGAAATTCCAACATTTAAGGCACAAGTAGAAAAAGAGCCCTTGGAGAATCTTTGAAAAGGAACAGTGAGTGAAGAAGAAGAAAACCTGGGAGATAATTATCACAGAATCAAAGGGAAGAGTGTTTCAGGGGGGTGGATGTTGAAAGTGTCAGATGTCCCCAGGAGGCAGCTAATAGGAAAGGTGCTTTTACCTCTGAACCTAGGTTTCTTGGAAGCTTAGCACAAGAGTCAAATCCAGATCTTGAACCTTTTCCCAAGTATCACTGGGCAGTACAACCCCCAGGCTATTCTGCCCTTATGCATCACGGCTGCCAGTCCCAGTCTTTCAGTGAGTCTTCAAGTCAACATCAGCCAGTGCTGGCACCATCAACTTACTACACGCAAGAATGCTACCCTGGCTGGGTGTGGTGGCTTACACCTGTAATCCCAATACTTTGGCCAGGAGTTCAAGATCAGCCTGGGCAACATAGTGAGAGACCCCATCTCTACAGATTTTTTTTTTTTTTTAATTAGCTGGGTGTGCACTTCCCTGTAGTCCCAGCTATTTGGGAGGCTGAGGTGGGAGGATCACCTGAGACTGAGGAGTTTGAGGTTGCAGTGAGCCCTGATGGCACCATTGCACTCCAACCTGAGTGACATAGTGAGACTGTTTAAAAAAAAAAAAAAAAAGAAGAAGAAGAATGCTACCTTCTTCCAGTCCTTACTATGGCCCTGAAGCTGCCATCAACAAAAACCTGTTTTCCTAGAAAAGGTGAAATTAAGGAATTGAAAGTGGGAGTATTAGTTTGAGTTGGAGGTCAGGAGCTAACTGTAGTTTTCATGGGTTTGTCTAAAACCTCCCAGGGTGATAGTAAGAGTTGGCACAAAGAGAGGTTATTTAATAGGTGCTGAAGGCTGGGTTTGGAGGATCACTTGAGCCCAGGAGTCTGAGTCTGCAGTGAGCTGTGATTATGCCACTGCACTCCAAAAAGAAAAAGAAAAAAAAAGGGTGCTAAGGGGCAGTAAAGCCAGATGGCAGAAGCTTCAAAGGGAGAAGAATTTTTGCAAGAGGATGGAAGCACAGTGGTCTGAAAGTAGCAGTGGGTAGCAAAGAGAAAGCTGATACCTTGCCACCCCTTCCTACAGGAGCAAGAATAAACAGCCTCTAGAACGTTGAAGGGAAAAGGTGTTCATTAATTGGGAAAAGTCAAAAATTTCTACCTCACCTCTGACCATGTTTTCCTCTATACCCACTGGAATGCTTTTCTTTTGTAAACAGCCTCCCTTATATATTCATTGTCTTCGCAGATTGCTCCTTAGCTTTTCCTAAACTTTTTCTAGAGGAATAGCCATCAGGACAGAGGTAGCTCTGATGTGTGAAATGCAGACGTAATCCATATAAGCCCGCAAAAAAGGCAGACACAGGCACTACTTCTTAAAGTAGAATAATATTCTCTCTCCATATGCATATTCTGGAATGGTTTGACACCTAGTAGTCTTGGCACTGTGATGGTAATTCTTTTCCATGAACCCACCTTTCCTCTCCAAACCTAACCCAGTTCCATTCAGAGGATTACAGAAAGCTGAGGATTGCCTTTTCTAGTCATAGTATGATGTCCAGTCTGCTTATTGCAGCCAATGGGGAAAAGAACAGATCGCTTTCTTCATTGAGAATGGAAAGCTTAGCCGGGCATGGTGGCTCACACCTATAATTCCAGCACTTTGGGAGGCCGAGGCAGAAGGATCACTTGAGGTCAGGAGTTCAAGACTGGCCTGGCCAACATGGTGAAACCCTGTCTCTACTAAAAAAATACAAAAATTAGCTGGGTGTGGTGGTGGCATGTGCTTGTAATCCCAGCTACTCGGGAGACTGAGGCAGGAGAATTGCTTGAACCTGAGAGGCGGAGGTTGCAGTAAGCCAAGATCATGTCACTGTACTCCAGCCTGGGCAACAGAATTGAGCTCTGCCTCAAAAAAAAAAAAAAAAAAAAAAGGAAAGCTGAAGGAAGGGCTGAGATTTGCCTTCATTAGGCCTTCCAAAGTAATCTCTCTTCCCCTACAGGACTCACAGAACGCAGTCCTTTTCCCCTGGGGCCAGCCTTCAATGACCAAATTTTCCAAATTCCAAACATTGGGACAGTTGCCTGGCCAGCTGTTCCTAAACTAGTCAGTTTATTTGGAGGGATGTTTTCTGCTTGGGGAGGCCTGGAAGTTCACTCTTTCAACATGAAGCCATAAGATCATAATGCCAACAAAGAGAGCTGTGCAGATTCCCTGAGCTAAGCCAAAGGGACCTCCTGTGTAGAGATGGGCACCCTCATGTCCATCACTGAGAAAAAAATATTTCAAACAGTTTAGGGTATTTCGTTAGCTATAGCTAGATTGCTGTTCCTCCTTAGCTTAAACTATACATCATCTGTACAGTTAAAACAAAAACTTCATCTCTTGCCTTATGAACCACCCTCTCCTTGATTCAACTAAAAACTTGGGAGAACTTCCTCTGAGAAGATTGAGAACGCTGTGTAGAATTATCTTGTGGAAGTCCTCTGCTTGTTATGTTTCTTCCTTTACATTAGTTCCTATCTCTTCCTCAGCTGAGAAAACATCCCTCCAGCTTTCAAAGACTGGCCCCTTCAGTTCTACCCTGATGCCCATCCTTTTCTACTTATCAAAACACTACTCCCACAGTTACCTCTTCCTTCACTGGAATCTGTAACCTGGAACCCTTAAGCTGTCTCTCCACAAGCTCACATTTCCACTGTATCCTTAACTGTAGTTTTCAACTCCCTGTAGTTCTCAGTAATTAGAAAGGCCTTTTTACTATCCTTAGATAAATCTCTTTGTAACTTCCACTTACTGGTTCTGTTTTTTCTCTCTGGGTCAACACATCATAGCCACATGTCCCTACTAAATATTTTTTTTGCAAGTCAGTGGTAAAGTTTAGAGTAAAGCAGATCTGTTCTCTTTCTTGATCTGAATACTCTATTAAGGCTGCTTGTCCTAGTCCATGTTCCTTCCCAGCTCTACGAGATTAATCTTTTCAAACCAGATATTCCCTTAAGGAAGTCTATATCTTACTAGCACTAGCCCCTTGTCACAAGTATCCTCTTGACTCTTCCAGGGCCACTCGGATCCCTGTGTCCCTACCAGAGCTTTACTCTTCTGCTTTACCCTGCAGGGACTTGCTGACCTGATGATCTGATCTACTTCTTGGTTTCCTATTAACTCTAAGCTGCGGCAGTTACTCATTTTCATCCAGGCATTATACTACTGACTCCTCCTAATTTCAGTTCAGATTCGAACCTAGCTGTAAGTCCTTAGCTAGAATTCTGGCTTCTATGGCTCCTAAATAAAAGAGTAGGGACCTCAGCCACGCACGGTGGCTCACGCCTGCAATCCCAGCACTTTGAGAGGCTGAGGCGGGTGTGGATTGCTTGAGCCCAGGAGTTCAAGAGCAGCCTGGGTAACATGGCCAAACCCTGTCTCTACAGAAAAAAATACAAAAATTAGTCAGTCATGCTAGCATGTGCTTGTAGTTCCAGCTACTCAGGAGGCTGAGGTGGAAGGATCACTTGAGCCTGGAAAGCCGAGGCTGCAGTGAGCCAAGATCACACCACTGCACTCCAGCCTGGGTGACAGAGCCAGACCCTGCTGCCTCAAAAAAAAGGAAAAAGAAAAAGAGTAGGGACCACAGTCAGTTGCTGAATCCTAATGATCTGCTGTTAAAGTCTCCTCAACCTATTCCCTTTTCTTCATTCCCCAGCTCTGACCCTCACTAATATGACAGGCAAGTTCCTTAACTTCTCTAAACTTGTTTTCTTATCTGTGAAAGAAATATAACATCCACCTCACAGATCATTGTTCTAATGATTATATTAAATGATGTATAGAAAGTGTTGCACAGGTCCTAGTGCTCCATAAATGTTACCTAATATTTATTATTGTATTATATATAACAAATTTCACCAGGTTTCAGAAATTCAGCAGGCTCTTTATCAGTGACTCTCTGCTGCCCCCATGGGGATGACTTTTTCCAAGTCATTGGTTATTCCAAAGACGGTAACATAAAACAACCCTGTCTCAGGTCAGGAGATCGAGACCATCCTGGCTAACATGGTGAAACCCTGTCTCTACTAAAAATACAAAAAACTAGCTGGGCACGGTGGCGGGCGCCTGTAGTCCCAGCTACTCGGAGGCTGAGGCGGGAGAATGGCGTGAACCCGGGAGGCGGAGCTTGCAGTGAGCCGAGATCGAGCCACTGCACTCCAACCTGGGTGACAGAGTGAGACTCCGTCTCAAAAAAAAAAAAAAAAAAAAAAACCCTGTCTCACCAATCCCACCAGTTATTAGAGAATTAACCAATTTTTCTTTGGGTGGTTGTTCAATTAAATAAAAATGCTCTTATATTCTAGACCATTCTCTAACTTTTTATTTATTTTTTATTTATTTATTTTGAGACAGAGTCTCGCTCTGTCGCCCAGGCTGGAATGCAGTAGCGCAATCTTGGCTCACTGCAAGCTCCATCTTCTGAGTTCATGCCATTCTCCTGCCTCAGCCTCCCAAGTAGCTGGGACTACAGGCGCCCGCCACAATGCTCGGCTAATTTTTTGTATTTTTAGTAGAGACAGGGTTTCACCGTGTTAGCCAGGATGGTCTCAATCTCCTGACTTCGTGATCCGCCCGCCTCTGCCTCCCAAAGTGCTGGGATTACAGGCATGATCCACTGCGCCCAGCCTAATTTTTTCAAATAACATAACAGGCCGGGTGTGGTGGTTCATGCCTATAATCCCAGCACTTTGGGAGGCCAAGGCAGGTGGGTCTCTTGAGGTCAGCAGTTTGAGACCAGCCTCGCCAACATGGAGAAACCCCGTCTCTACTAAAAACACAAAAATTAGCTGGGCATGGTGGCAGTCGCCTGTAATCCCAGCTACTCCAGAGGCTGAGGTGGGAGAATCACTTGAACCCTGATACACTGCATCTATGATGTTCTCCTAATCTGTTAATCTAGTAACACTGACAAGAAAGGAAACTCATTGAGTCATTTATTTTTAGTTTAGTTTAGTTTAGTTTAGTTTAGTTTAGTTTAGTTTGAGACGGAGTCTCACTCTGTTGCCCAGGCTGGAGTGCAGTGGCACAATCTCAGCTCACTGCAACCTCTGCCTCCCAGATTCAAACGATTCTCCTGCCTCAGCCTCCCGAGTAGCTGGGACTACTGGCGCCTGCCACCACACCCAGCTAATTTTTGTATTTTCAGTAGAGATGAGGTTTTACCATGTTGGCCAGGCTGGTCTCGAACTCCAGACCTCAATTGATCTGTCCGCCTTGGCCTCCCAATGTGCTGGGATTACAGGCATGAGCCACCGCGCCAGGCCTGAGGAAAATTTTTAAAAAATAATTGAGACTGTTATGGTGACACCACCACCAGAAGCTACAAGCAAAATACTGATAAACTCAACCTCATATGTGAAAATTTTTCACATTGTTTAAAATACTATGAACAAAAGCAAAGACAACAAACTGGGAAAAATATTTACTACTCATCACAAATGGCTAATATCTTTAATATTAATATTTTTAAAAAAATACAAATCAGATCAGGCACAGTGGCTCATTCCTGTAATCCCAGTACTTTGGGAGGCCGAGGCGAGAGGATCTCCTGAGTCAGGAGTTCAAAACCAGTCTGGCCAACATGGAAAAACCTGTCTCCGTTAAAAATACAAAAAGTAGCCAGATGTGGTGCAGGCACCTGTAATCCCAGCTACTTGGGAGGCTGAGGCAGGAAAATCGCTTGAACCTGGGAGGTGGAGGTTGCAGTGAGCCGAGATCGCACCACTGCACTCCAGCCTAGGCGACAGAGCAAGAATCTGTCTCAAAAAAAAAAAAAAGCTGGGTGTGGTGGCTCAGACCTGTAATCCCAGCACTTTGGGAGGCTGAGGCAGGTGGATCATGAGGTCAGGAGATGGAGAGCATCCTGGCCAACACAGTGAAACCCTGTCTCTACTGAAAACACAAAAATTAGCCGGGCATGGTGGTGGGCACCTGTAGTCCCAGCTACTCAGGAGGCTGAGGCAGGAGAATCGCTTGAACCCAGGAGGCGGAGGTTGCAATGAGCCGAGTTTGTGCCACTGCACTCCAGCCTGGGCAACAGAGCAAGACTCCATCTCAAAAAAAAGAAAAACGAAAAAAAGATTGGGCATGTTGGCTCACACCTGTAACACGCCCAAATCCCAGGACTTTGGAGGCCAAGGCGGGTGGATCACCTGAGGTCGGGAGTTCGAGACCAGTCTGACCAACATGGAGAAACCCCGTCACTGCTAAAAACACAAAATTAACTGGGCGTGGTGGTGCATGCCTGTAATCCCAGCTACTCTGGAGGCTGAGGCAAGAGAATCGCTTGAACCCCGGAGGCAGAGGTTGCGGTGAGCCGAGATCGCGCCATTGCACTCCAGCCTGGGCAACAAGAGCGAAACTCCGTCTCAAAAAAAAAAGCAAATCAGTAAGTAAAATAAATAATAATTTAAAAGGGGGAAAGGAGGTAAGACTTTACAGAAAAGAGCTGGGTGTAGCATGCACCTGTATGTAGCTGCTTGAGAGGCTGGGTCCCTTTGAGCCAAGGAGTTCGAGACCAGCTTGGGCAACATAAGGAGATTCCATCTCTAAAATAAATGAATAATAATGAAAGAATGTACAAAACAGGAAATACAAATGGATACTAAACATATGAAAAGATAGTAGGCGAGGTGCAGTGGCTCATGCCTATAATCTCAGCACTTTGGGAGGCTGAGGTGGGCAGATTGCGTGAGCTCAGGAGTTCGAGACCAGCCTGGGCAACACGGCGTGAAACTCCATCTCTACAAAAATATACAAAAATTAGCTGAGCATAGTGGCATGTGCCTGCTGTAGTACCAGCTACTCGGGAGGCCGAGGTGAAAGGATCACTTGAGCCTAGGAGGCAGAGGTTTCAGTGAGCTGAGATTGTACCACTGCAGTCCATCCTGGGTGACGAGCAAAACTCTGAAACATACGTTTCACTGTATGTTCTTTTGTCCTTTTTAAATTTGGGGCAGGTGCATGTATTACCTACTCAGAAGTAAATATTTTAAAACCAAATGTATGTAAAAGTTTGTTCTCGGCCGGGCGCGGTGGCTCAAGCCTGTAATCCCAGCACTTTGGGAGGCCGAGATGGGCAGATCACGAGGTCAGGAGATCAAGACCATCCTTGCTAACATGGTGAAACCCCGTCTCCACTAAAAAATACAAAAAACTAGCCGGGCGAGGTGGCGGGCGCCTGTAGTCCCAGCTACACAGGAGGCTGAGGCAGGAGAATGGCGTAAACCTGGGAGGTGGAGCTTGCAGTGAGCTGAGATTGTGCCACTGCACTCCAGCCCGGGCGACAGAGTGAGACTCCGTCTCAAAAAAAAAAAAAAAAAAAAAAAGTTTGTTCTCATGTTATCATATTTGTGCTTTCCCTGTTATCATATTTGTCCTTGCCTGCATGTTTAATGTATTCATACTAAGAGTTCCAGTTCAAAGGCCATCAGCCATATCTGATTCTCTCAGGCATAGTTACTCAGACAGTACTTTGTATATCTCCAGAATAGGGATTTCTTATTTTATGGTAATTGTCACCATATTAGTTTCTCCTACCCAAAGAGGAGGTAGAGATGAAGTCCCATTAATGGTTAAATGCAAAGTCTGTAGTTCCAAAATCCCTAAGGGTGATACCAATACCACAGAAGGTACTGTGCATACCTCAGCCCATTCAAGGGAGGGGGTTAGAGTCCCTGCAGCTCTACTGTGCTTAATGCAGAACCACCAGGCTCTCCTTGTGTTTTCAGAAACAGGTTCAGTATTGATCACTGTCTGCCATTTAGGGCCTGCTACTGCTTCCAATCCCTCAGATCCCTGCTGCTAATTTAATATTGGTCTAGCGATGGTAGAAAAGTATATCAATTGGTTAAGTGTGTGACTTCTAGAGCCAGGCTGTGCTCTGGATTGAATTTCAGGTCTACCATTTAATTGCTATGTGATAGGGCTTTTTTTCATTCAACTTGTGCTTCAATTTCTTCACATGTAAATGAGGATAATGAGAGTACCCACCCCAGGGTTATTGCCAGAAGTAAAGGAGCTGATGTTTGTAAAATGTTTAGGACAGTACCAAACACATAATAAGCACCGTATAAATGTTAGCTTAATATTATAATTATTTTTACCAAGTGATTCTAAGTGTGAACCCAGTTTCTCATAGCATAAGAGACCAAGCTATAATTTACAATAATTCTTTGTTGAAGTCTCCAGGATAATTAAAGGTAATAACAAAAGAGAATAACTTCCAAAACTGGCTATCCATCTACACTAATCTTCTATAACATGGCTTCCTCCCTATAGCAGAGCCATCATTTCTTTTACCATTCTGAGTTATTTTCCAGCATATTAGAGTCCAGACCAATGCCTTAAAGAACAGAGGAGCTGGGCACAGTGGCCCATGCCTGTAACCCCAGCACTTTGGGAGGCCGAAGAGGGCGGATCACGAGGTCAGGAGATCGAGATCATCCTGGCTAACACGGTGAAACCCCGTCTCTACTAAAAATACAAAAAATCAGCCAGGTGTGGTGGCGGGCACCTGTAGTCCCAGCTACTTGGGAGGCTGAGGCAGGAGAATGGCGTGAACAAGGAGGCAGAGCTTGCAGTAAGCCGAGATCACACCACTGCACTCCAGCGTGGGCAACAGGGCGAGACTCCATCTCACAAAAAAAAAGAACAGAGGAAAAGCTTCTTCTTTTTTCCCTAATCCAAGGCTTATTTCTCTAACCCAATATTCACTTCTCTTTCTGTCCCGGGAGCTGCCTTTTCCCATGATGACAGACAGTGGGGCTTTCAGCTACCTTCAGGGGCTCTCCAATGCACCCAACTGTCCTATTGCATTGCCTACATTTCTTAGAATTTAGCTATTCAATTAATCCTTTTCGATTCCTTTTTTTTTTTTTTTTTTTTTTTTTTGAGATAAAGTGTTGCTCTGTTGCTGAGGCTGGAGTTCTGTGGTGCGATCTCACCTCACTGCAACGTCTGCCTCCTGGGTTCAAGCAATTCACCTGCCTCAGCCTCCGGAGTAGCTGGGACTACAGGCACACACCACCATGCCCCGCTAATTTTTTGTATTTTAGTAGAGACAGGGTT